CTGTCAGGGAGAAATAAAGGGGTGCTGAACTAGAGACCAACCACACACACTATGAATAGTTTTATGAAGTACTGATGGAGAGTTACACACGAGGCCTGGTCACAGACCGGGCCGCGGGGGCGTTGACCCCCGGAACTCTCTCCAGGTAAACTCCAGGTAAACACGTCCAACATCTGAGTATCTCTGTGTAGACGTTTCATTCCCTCAGGGACTGATTATGTCATCTTTTGTATGTAATTCTACATTCTTCACATTCCGTCCTTGTATTGATAGTCACTGGAGGGCGAAACATCTACAAATAAAGACATCCAAATGTTGCACATGTGTAATTCTACATCTTGTCGGTACTGTATAATATTAATGTACGTCATGAAGTGCAACTAAAGTGACGTTTTACTGTGGCAACGTTTCGCTCTCCAGTAGCTTTGTCAAGTTGTTAGGAAGCTCCTGGAGAGAGAAACGTTGCCACAATAAAATGTCACATTAGTTGCACTTGTGACCTTTTACCTAGCATATTGTTGGTAATTCCACCAATATTATGAGAAATAATCTTAGCTTAACAGCTAAATAAACCAGACAGACAATACACTTGACCTTAGTGACCTTAACTAATGAACATCTAGTACGGGGGATAACAGTGTATAATATAATAAGACACAGGTGCAAGTTAGGTATCTTTATTCCGAAACGTTTCGCCTACATAGCAGGCTTCTTCAGTCGAGTACAGAAGAGCTTTACATCGTCTTCACATCTCTACTGCTTCCTCTTACTCTTCTTTACTCCACTGAAGAAGTCTACTGTGTAGGCGAAACGTTTCGGCATAAAGATACGTAACTGTTGTACGTGGTTTTACTTATCAAACTGTCGGTATTGCATACCATTTTCAGTATCTTAATACAGTATACTCAGACCTGCATACACACACATGCGAGAATATACAACAGGCCTAGTGTCTAATCGGCATGTGCTTAGGACAAAATGGTAACTAACTGCAGCACGACACAACCAGCCAGGAGGCTGCCTTCAACACATACAACTTTCATCAATAAGTACATTAACTGGTATCAACTAAATCATGAGTGAAGTCTGCTGGGAAGAGTGTATGTGCGACACGAGCTCAAACCAGTGTCTGGAGTGAATGAACTCTATTGATATTACCAGTGTGGTACGCGCGCGCACGCGTGCACACACGTACACACACACTACTAACACACACACACACACACACACACACACACACACACACAAGAGAGTACACGGGCTAACTACAGTATAATGACAAAAATGGGTGTATACACACTTAGGACATATTTACTAGGTACGTTTTGGACCTCAGGTCTGAAACGTATCCAGTGAAGACGTTCTGTCAACCATATACTAGAAAAACATAAGAGGGGCTCTTCTACTTGTGAAGACAGAATCACTGACCTCATCTTTCTCAAGAGTGAAAAGAAATACTCTTCAGAGAGTTGGAAAACAGAGATAAACAATGAGAAAGAGAGAGAGAGAGAGAGAGAGAGAGAGAGAGAGAGAGAGAGAGAGAGAGAGAGAGAGAGAGAGAGAGAGAGAGAGAGAGAGAGAGAAGCCTTTAATGAAATTTTTATCAATGCGAAATCAAGGCTCAATAGTGAATGTATCCAACACGGAGATGTTACTGTAGCGTAGTGGTCTAAGGTGTCAGTGGGTGACTCTGCCAAGGTGGAGGGTGAAGTGTCTGGGTTCGAATCCTCGACTAACTTCAGATAATCAATTGTAAATAATTTCGCTAGTGTTAATATTTACCAGAGAAGCCATAACTCACGTCTGGAGTGACTACCACACAGAAAAGTGATGGTGGTCCCAGGTTCACTAAGCAATGTGAACCAGTTGAACCTTAGCGAAATGTGCATAGGAGAAGGTTCAAAATTATGAAACATGTGTAACAGTTGGGTATCTTTGTTGATGAAACGTTTCACTACACAGTAGGCTTCTTCAGTCAAATACTAAGGCAGCAGTAGTAATTAAATAGAGATAATGTAATCAGTCCATCAACCTTGGAGAAAAAGGATCTGAGGCGGTCAGTCCCTCGGCCTGGAGAAGAAGCTCAACTGCTGCCTTTGCATTTGACTGATGAAGTCAACTGTATAGGCGAAAAGTTTCCACAATAAAGATACCCAACTGTTGCACATGTCTTAATCTTCAACTCGTCGGTATTTTATACCATCTTCAACAACCCAGGAGAAGGTTACTCTAGTTTTGCCCTAGAATGAAAAACAGGCCACTGATGAATGTTGCACATTTAACAAGGTAACATTCTCATAACATTCTAATAGCTGAAAACATCGTTCAGCGTCTCGTCCTCTGGAGACACTTATTACTTAAATATTTCATTAATTTAGACCCTGATCTGCAGCATCATACATAACGTCAGGATTCTTATTCAGGGTACAGACACCTGATTCCAAACTTTCTATGATATAGAGAGCAACAATAGATGCTTCCAAACTTTCTAAGATATGTAGAAAGCAACAACAGCTGCTTCCAAACGTCCTGTGATATAGACAGGAACAGCTGTTGCTGCTTCCAAACGTCCTGTGATATAGACAGGAATAGCTGTTGCTGCTTCCAAACGTCCTGTGATATAGACAGGAATAGCTGTTGCACTGACATTTCGTCAGTGTTGTTGAGCGGAAGTTGTGAACTAAAAAGCTCAACATTATCTATTGTTATAAACATTATGTGTTTTGTCCAAGTAGCCTACCTACCAGCCAATCACCTTGTTTCACAAGCTGCTGCTAGTATTAACAAGCTGCTGCTAGCATTAACATGCTGCTGGTATCACTAACAAGCTGCTGGTATTAACAAGCTGCTGCTAGCATTAACATGCTGCTGGTATCACTAACAAGCTGCTGGTATTAACAAGCTGCTGCTAGCATTAACAAGCTGCTGGTATCACTAACAAGCTGCTGGTATTAACAAGCTGCTGTTAGCATTAACAAGCTGCTGGTATCACTAACAAGCTGCTGCTAGCATTAACAAGCTGCTGGTATCATTAACAAGTTGCTGGTATTATTCACACGTTATTAGTACTTCCAATTTACTGTCATTACCTCAATTATACTCACACTGTGAGTTAAGTCCATTACTGACATCCCACAAACCATATCCATAAAATGTTCCACGTCACAGTAAATTTTGATAAGAGGAAAAACGTTCCAGCCATATATGTAGTATGTTATCAAGCTTCATTAGCTTCCCGTGCACACAAGTGCACGGGAGGCAGCAAGGTGTGGCTGTTCTATACCAGACTTACGATGTGGTAACAAAAGCAAGCTGTTTCCCCTGCCACGTTCCATCACCCAGGATGAAGTTCTTAAAGAGGGTAGTGAAACTGTCAGGTTGAGCTGGGAGACAATGGCAGGAAGATAACGTCAAACATTTCAACAACTATAACAGAGCTAGAGTTAATCTTACTCTGGCATTACCATCTCTCAGAATGACCCATCCAGCACACACACGATGAAGGTATCAGGATACCATCCTCACACACACAAATGATGAAGCAAAACTAGTATATATATATATATATATATATATATATATATATATATATAATATATATATATATATATATATATATATATATATATATAAAGATCACGGTGAACAGGTGATATCAGAATATGCAAAACAACCACTGTGAAAGTATAGTGAAATTCCAAGAGCTTACGTGACTTTTCACATTATCAAGGAACTATGATAATGTGAGAAGTCACGAAATCTTCTGAATTTCACTATTCTTTCACATTGGTTGTTTTGATATATATATATATATATATATAATATATAATATATATATATATTATATATATATATATATATATATATATATATATATATATGTGTGTGCAAGGAATTCGTTAGAGCAGGTGAAATATACACAAACACTGATCTCTGGCCGAAGGAGACTCGAACCTACGAACCTTGGAACAAGGTACGCAGTGCTTTACCATCTAGTAAGGCTGATGCATGCAGGGGATGAGATGAAAAGCTGTAAGCCTTCTTCCTGAAAGCTGGCTGTCTTGGATTAACGTCTAGCGCAAGCTGGGCGCCAAGGTATTGGTCCAGTGTGGCGAGAATGGTAAAGCACTGCGTACCTTGTTCCAAGGTTCGTAGGTTCGAGTCTCCTTCGGCCAGAGATCAGTGTTTGTGTATATTTCGCCTGCTCTTGAGAATTCCTTGCATTGTTAAAATCTCTAGTAAGGCTGATGCATGCAGGGGATGAGATGAAAAGCTGTAAGCCTTCTCCCTGAAAGCTGGCTGTCTTGGATTAACGTCTAGCGCAAGCTGGGCGCCAAGGTATTGGTCCAGAATATATATAAGACCGAGAGAGATGAGAGTCATAAAAGGGAAATGTACAAGAGTATAGCGGTAGCTTCACTTGGTGGGTGCTGAGAGGAGGAGGCTTCCTGGGTTGCTGAAGGCAGTGTAGATGTCTTTTTGGAGAACATATGTGCTGGGAATATTTTGCAGAAAACTAGATGCCTAGAAATCAGAAGACAAGGTTGGGTTACGGAGATATAATTCTGAGGACACAGTAAAGATTGTTTGGGCATTTAGAAATGGAGAAGAATAATGGCCAAGAGTGTGTATAAATCCAAGGTGGAAGGAAGAGACGGGTAAAGGTTTTATGTTGTATGGGTTTGAGCACCAGCAGGCGTGTGAGAGCCTATTATAGCAGTGTGTGTCAAGCAAGTGGCTTTTAATACTTATTGTGCTGTTGGAACGTAAACAAGGTAATATTTATGAACGAATTTAGGGGAAAAAATTAACTAAGCATCAGTTCCTTTTTTCACTACCTTCTTACTGCCACTACTACCACTGTTGTATTATTTTTTCCACTATTACTACCACCTCTACCTCTTTAACACTATTCCTTCCTCTCATCCCTCCACACTTTCTCGTATATATACTGGTTCCCTTCCCTTCATGCTTCTGTGTGACTAGTTAATGGTTTAATT